TTAAACAATTACCATTATCATCAATTTGTAAATCTTGTGTAACATTTGCACCCATAGCTCGTGCAATAAGTGTTGCACGATGTTTTTCTAATGGATAACCTTGTGGCATTAAATGAGAAAAACAAAGTGATACATTTGTAAGTACTTGTCGACGTATATCAGGTAAGATTTGTTTTAAATCTGGCATATCACGTGTTTTATCTTGTGTCCATTGATCATATGATGCAAAAAATTCAGTATGAATACGTTTTAAAATTATTTCTAATTGATCTAAATAATTGTCATTGTCAATAGTAATATTTGGATCATTAGTTACTGGCAAAGTTGTAGTGTTCGTTTGTCTATATTAGTAAAAAGAACAAGTTTCGTTAATTTTTGATTGTGTTTGACGAAGAGATTAATTATAGAAGCTTTGGAATGAATGTACTATCTCAGTTATACTACAATTGATTGATAGAAATACTTCGTAATGAGATTTGAATTAGTTTAAAAGAGTTTTTTATTCGTAGGTTTTTGCTTAGGAAATATGATTTTACTAAGAGTTTAACATAAGACTTGAAATTTCAGCCTAATAGTATGAATCTTTTCTTTTTAAGATGTTGGCTACTTCAAAACGATCATATTTTCATAAAAACCGATAGTATCTACTTTTGCTAATATTATTAAAGTATTGTAAAACTTATAAAGCCTATCTATAAGCGAAATTTCATGTCGATATTCTCTATATATGATTATTTGCTTAACTATTTTGCATTTTTATAAACAGAGGTGACTCCTTCCACAATCTTGAAAAATTTTCGTTTTTCTCTAGTGGAATTTCAGCGTTTTATTCTTTATTTTTTTTGTTTGTTTTGCTCATCGATTCCCAAAAAGACACTCAACCCATCCTTCTCAAATTCCAGTGTCAACTTTAGCAAAAATCCTCCAATCGGTCTCGTGAGTCATCGATCCTTTCCGAATTCTGGCGGCCTTGGAAGACTCCTGTTTATCAGTATCTCATTATTCATTCATAGAGAGATGTGCAGGACTACTTTTGGTTTCGGTCGTGACCACCAAAACGAAAAAAGAAAATGAAAACGCACCGAGTCCAGACCTACGAAGAAAAACTTGTTCGAATCGAAACTAAAAATTGTAGTTAAATTTTTCATAGTTTTTAGCAAATTATCAAGGCAAAATTCAGGAGAAGTGATATTCGTCGACTCAATAAATCTAAATACGAGTATTGAAGATTTTTTTCTAGATTTAAAATGCAAATAAATTCTGAAATCATTTTTTCTAAATTGAGACTAAGAAAATTTGGTCATGCATATCTCTATTGTCAAGACATTACACGAAGAGATGATGAGTGAATCATTCATCATCTCTTCAAATACAGAAAAAAGAAACCAAACTTACTCATTGTTATTATCAGTTTGTTCTTTTAATTTTTTACTTGTTTCTTCCTGTTCGATATTTTCATTAGTATTATTATCATTATCATTATCAAACTTTCGTTTTTCACCTCTATGAATAACATTTTGATAACCTCCTTCTGTTGTTCGTTCAATTAATGCATTACTATCCATTTCCATACGTTCATCAGCAATATGTTCACTATTTTCTAACTGTTCTTCAAATTCTTTTTCACTTATTGGTGGTATTAATTGTTCACTCGGAATAGGTGGTGATGGTAGATGAATATCATTTATATCACCAACATCTTTAAACCATACATATGGTTTAACATGTACAAGATTTCGTGCATAATTCCAAACATCTTCACGATCATCAATAATACAAACCATTGAATCACCACAAGGAAATAAGGCACTAAAATCAAAAAAACAAAAGCTATTAGCACAATCTCTGTGCTTTAGATTGTGTTTCACAAAAAACAAATATCCATACCCTAAATTAGCTGTTTTTCGTGTTGGATCAAAACATTCATTACGAGATAAAATTCTATGATAGAAAAATGTTTTATTTGGATCAATTAATCTTGCCATTGTATGTGCATAAAGACGTTCACCAAAAGTAACAATATGAAATTGATAATATGGTAAAAGATTAGTTAGAAATTCTTTTACACCGGGACGTAATTTTGTATAGAATGTTTGTGATGATTGAGTACTTAATTGATATGCAATAACATCCTAATAGATAAATAAGAGATTACAGAGAAAAATAGAAAAGAATTAATTTGATTTTTTTTTCTTTTAATACATACAGGTGAATATGGATAATAATGACTTGAATTTGTTGTATGAAGAAGTGTTTGATCAAGATCAACAAGTAAATCAAGTTTACGTTCACGAAGAAGACGCTCTCGTTCTTCAATACTATATTTTTCAGCTTCCTAAATTATAATATGTAATCATTTTTGAAAACAAACAAAACAAAAAAAAAATCTACAACGAACTTCTGCTGTTACTCTAAGTTCTGGTACAGTATGTTCCATTGAAACTGTTGGTGCTGTCATCATCGTAGTTGATGATGATGGTAATGATGATGATGATGATAAAGGTGTATCGCCTAATGGATCTAAGACATTTTTTTGTGATGATGTCATTTCCATTTTATCTTTTAACCTTTATAAGAAAAAAAAAAAAGAAACGATTGTAAGAAGATATATTTCATTCGATCTTTATTTTACTGATTTAAATTAGCACCACAATCACAACATAAATTTTTGAGTGTAATCGTATGAAGACATTCTTCATATTCCAAAATAATTGAACTAAGATAATAGAAAACAATATATATATATATATATATATATATACAAAAGTATACAAATAATTAATAGAATTTACCCATTTGATAGAATATCCCATTCATGAATGTATAATTTTGTTACTGTACCCAAGACTGAAGATGAAAATTGTTCCTTATTGCCATCTATGTAGAAGAAAAAAGTTATTTCATATGAATTGAAGATGGAAGTTTTCTCTATTTAATCAGTTTCTTTTTCTTTCGCAAACTTATTTACTCTGTTTGTTATGTATATTTTCATCTTTCATGAAATAAAAATAAATAAATCATTCGAACTTATAACTGTTATTTGAACTCGTATTGTACCTGCAAGGATGTCATGGTGGGATGAACAAAGTTCTAAAAGGGTTCATCTTCGTGAGTCGAATTTTCGGCTCTGCTTTTGATATATACTAAAAAATTCGAACTGAAATTTAGTTCAAGGACAGATCGAATGACTTGTAAAATATTCTAAAAGTTTCAGTCGAAAAGAATATTTTTTTGACGAGATATCGAATTTTCAAAACACGTTCGCTTGCTACAGGAATAATACAAAAATCGAGTTTACTTGGAAATTTAATATCTCAACAAGAAAAAAAACATTCTTTTCGGTTGAAAATTTCACGATATTCCACAGGATCATTCGACTTATCTATGGACACAATTTCAGGTCGAAATTCTGTTCTTTTGATTTTTCAGTATCTATCTGAAACTGAGTCAAAAATTCAATACAACGATCATAAATCAAGCCCAAAGGTATTTTGAATGTTTGTTTTTTATTTAAAAATTATACAAGAGTGCGTGGAAAGCGCTTAATAGAACAAGAAGGTATATATCGCATGATCTTTTCCTTTAATTCACCGACATTTCTTTATTGATGTCGGACAATAATGCATAGCGAATGCACTGTCTGTTCAATGGTAATACTTAGAGCACAAGTTGTATACATAAGAAACTAAAGACAAACAAGAAAAAATTCTATCACATAATCATGTTGTTCTAACTGCGAAATATCAAGGACATGTCCTTTGTTTCCAACGATCAAATGAAAAGAAGAAAAAAGGATTGAGAAAAGTGGAAGATACCAAAATTCGACTCGGGTTGGATCATAAAAAATTTGACCCATATCACACACTACCATGAAGACAAGCTTTTTTAGACTTTTGTTAATCTCACCAAAGCGTTCCTCTAGGTTCAATATGAACTCAAACGGCGGGTATCAGTCCAGATGATTTCTAGGTAAGTAGTATTGTTTTAGAATAATTTCAAGAAAAAAGTCACAAACGATATGTATGATCATGTGTATTGCAATAAAACTCAAATGATGAAGAACTTGTGTTGTTCTAGGACGATTCAATATTTTTTCTGTTTTTTAAATTCTTTATTTATTGTAATTACTTTCTAGTCAATTTTAAGTTCAACTGCAATTACCAATGAAACAATAGTTTGTCATGAATTAATTCTCATTGAATGTTTTTTTTTTCTGTACTTATCATCCTATCAATAAGATTCATTTTACTTCACACTATACCCGGATTATGAGTATCGACCATTGTAAAAATCGGGTCATTTTTTATTAATTGTTGACATTCCCGAACGAAGACTTTTGTAACTTGAACCGATTTATTTAAATTAAATTTCATTATTTTCGTATTGTTATTATTAGTATTTCCACCATTTGTATTACCGTTTTTGCTCATCGTATTATAAAAACTATTTAAAAACAAAAAAAAAAAAAAAAGATATTTATCTAGAATAATAAAATCGATGTTTAGCACCAAGAAAACTTCGTTTTTTTTTTTCATTAATTATTATTTTAAAGCATATGCATATCAAATGAAGAAAAGAAAAAAAAAGGAAAACAAAACAAATAAACGAATACTAAGTAAGGCAACAATATTTGATGACCAACAATCAGAACTAGGATATCATTCGAAAAGAAATAGATATTTAAAAAAAAAAAACAAATAAATAATGTTGTTGTTTGTTAAAACATATCTAAATTTGATTTTCTTCTTTTTTTTCTCTTTTATGATCTGATTGCATATATATGCTTGTTTAAAGAAGACAACAGAATATGTAAAACAAAAGATGATTAATATCCAAAAGACAAAAAAAAAAAACAAGGAAGTTGGGTGACTAGAGAACAGGGGAGAAATGGGATTTATCTGTTGGATATGTCGACTACGTTTAAGCAAAAATAAAGAACTAATTTGATTCTCTGGAGTTAAAAAGATTTAAAAAAAAAAAGAAAAAAAAAGAAAACTGGCTTAAACAAAAATGTTTGTTGGATGAGATTTCTTTGGTGCTTGTTTTTGTTGTTCTTGTTGACTAATAGAAAAAATATTTTGTTTTTCAAGATCACGAGGTGGATTTTTATGTTTTGACCATGCATGAAAACATTTACGAAATTCAATTGGTTCAGAATTTTTTACAGTTAAACGTAATTTACGTGGTCGATCAGGTTCACGTGTACGTAAATGTTGAATATAAAGCTAAAAAACAGAAACAGATATTTTATCAAATTAAAATTTCTATCGAAGAAATTCATTGCTTTATAATAACAAAAGAATTTTCTAGTAAAAGAATTTAATTTTATCTCATATAGTTTGGATGAAAAAAAAAATCAGTAAATTACTTAAACCGTCAATTAGTAATGAATTAGATTTGTTAATAAATTTTAAAAAAAAATTAGTAGATAAAATTTATTAATAATCAAATAAATCAACAGATAAATATAGAAATAAAAATGCGCTATAGTGTGATTCACTTGTTTTTCTTCTTTTCTTCGCATCATGTAGTACGGATGTTACATACGACATAGATGTAAGCATTTTGCTTCTATCTTTTTCTTTGATTTCAGCTTAGAGTCTAGGAGTAAAAAATGATGAACGTAGTACAAGTTGCTCAATATGATAGTGAAGTAGTAAATGAAGAAGTTATCGAAGATAATCATGAAATAAATAGAAACGAAAGATTTTTTTGCCAAAAATAGGAATCAAAATATTGACTTGACGAAACTATATTTAATAATAATATCAATCGGAAATGAATAGTGTAAAAAATTACTGTTTATAATAAGGAGGGTGTGAATGTAAATAAGATGAAAATCTATTCAAACACATATTCATATCCGATTTTATACAAATTAGAAAAGAGCTCTATACTTTTCTCCGATCCAGTCCGATTTATTTTTTTACTGTTAATTATTTGTAACTATTTTGTTTTTGACTAATCATTTAAATCACAGTTAATAATTATTAATCGTGTTACAGTATAATAGAGTTCTGTAAAATAAAACAATTTACAAATCATTCATTCAATCAAAACAAATCTGACTAATTATTAAGTTCGATCGTGTAAAATTCCAAACAATTGTATTTTATATATTAGCTCATGTCTACCATAAAAAAGAGTTTATGACTTGTCAATGCTGTAGGATCACGCACTTGGATAGACTTTGTTCAACAACTTTTTATCCAAGCTAATCAACATTCGATTTTTTCAGAAACAAATCATACAAATAAATTTTTCTTATGCTAGACATATAGTTTACTAAAGTCAAAAGATACATTAAGTTTCATATTTAAGAGTATTCCCTTGTCAGAAGAGAACAAACGATTATGCGATGCACTTATTATAAATGAGTATACATTCTCAAGGACAATGTTATACTTATAGGCGAATATTTTTAAAACGCTCCATTAGTAACTATATGTAATTATGAATACACGACAGTATTTATCATTATATAAAAGTGGTAAGATTTATCAGTAAACTACAGCATTTAGATTGATGTTCGAAAAAAAATTTTACTTGCATATTCTAATTAGTATTTTCATCGTTAATTTATCAGTAAAAATAAATCAAAATATTTCACATTTCATTAGTTCGATTAACTTTCATATAGATTTTATAACAACAAAACAAAAAGTTAGTTATTTTTTTTTTTGCATTGATATTACATATGTATATATATATAGGAAAGATTGTACATACTTCAGCACTTTTCGCTGCAAATTTTACTTCAATAATACTAGCTGTCGGTCCTTTCCATAAGAAAACATACATTCCCGTATCGAGTAACATACAATCATCATCAAGTAAATCATCCTAAAATAATTCATATGTATTATAAATAAATATATGTTCTTAATTATATACTTGACAAAAATCTGCGTATTTCTCCGTAACAACAAAAAATCCATTATCATTCGAACATTTAAATAAACGCATATATCGCATATAATCAGCTGTCTAAAATAATTGATTAAATTTAATAGTAAAAAACAAAACAAATTTTTAAATAAAAAATAAAATTCAACATACGAGATCATATGGTAATCGATCACCTAAACCAACCCAAAAGAAATTTTCAGGTTCATTACCTTCATTAATCACTTGAATTGTATATGAATCCTTTCAAATGAAAAAAAAAGGAATCATTCACCAAAAAAAAAAACAAATCATATTTATTCATTTATCTTACATTATACATTTCATTAGAAATTTCTTGTGCAAGTAAAGCATCATCAGGATGAACAGAATTTCCAATCCATACATAAACAATTCCAATAATATCACCCGAATCAAGTGGTACAGTAACAATATAACTAACATACAGAAAAACAATATAAAAATAACTTCTATCTAATTAAATAAATTTTCTTTTGTGAAACATAATCCAAGATGTAGCCATGAGGAACGTCACAGTTGCCTTAGCAGCATTCGGATCCAATTAACGGTAAAATTTCAGACACGAACCCACTGGGTTCGGAACCAACTCAACAGGCTCTACCTTCGTATGCAGACTGTATATCAATAATATGGATGGAAAGAAGACCGACTTACTCTCACCTATACCCTAAAGCTATACTAAAAGCGTTAACCGTTCACTGAAACCATGTCATGACATAATGATCTTGTATTCTTTATGCTACCCAAGTCTCCTAAAGAGTCAGATAAAATAATTTATCTGAACTTCGGGACAAGTCCAGGTTCATTGCTTTCGAGGGACTGTGTGGTGCGCTGTTATCAAGCGCATAATTTTCTATACCACTATAAAATGGCAAGTATTTAGAGTATCGAAATTGACACTTTGGGTTAAAAACAGCAGCGCACGACATTCTTCGTATGCTTACACATTTCATCTTTTATAAAACCTGTTTGTTTATGGATAAATGTGCAGGTAAATTTTAAACGAATCATTTTTCACCGTGTATTTAAACACAGATTATGTTTCATCATATATTTTACGTTAAAGTCATCGATTAAAACTAAATTCCATTGAAAAAACAAAAAAATAATAGGAAATTCACTCCGCTCGAACTTTGTAAAAATTTCGTGATTCATAGAAAAAAAAGTAACATAGTTATTTTGATTTTTTTCGAAATAATCAAATCTATGAGATGGCGAAAATGCAAAAAGAAAATGAAACAAATATAATGATTTTTTATATTACACAAATAATCAATATTATGAGATGAAAATAATGCAAAAATAATGAAAGTAATGTAATGATGACGATAATGTAAAAAAAAATAGATGAAAGTAATCGAATGATTTCAAGTTTTACAAAATAATTAAATTTATGGAATTTTTTTTTTCTATTCTATAAGTAATATATGATTTCCGGAGTAACAAGTAAAACGCAATGGGCGAAGAAATGTGTCTTAAAATAGATAGGATAAAACAATCTTTCTATGATTAGCAACAACAGCTATATCGTCTTTCATATTTTAATCCCTCCGAGAGATTATGTTCATATATATATTTTTTCTCTTTCTATTTACCAAAATTCTGAACATAAATTTGCTGATGTAGCTTCAATTTGTATACAACGTGTCATGATAGTCGAATAACACCAACGTATATGATACATTTGTGTATGTGTTAATCGTTGTACAGGCATTTGCATACGTTGTGCAGCTGTACGACGTTTTCCATTATGTATAATAAATTTTCGATTAAAATGTGCCATAAATCGTTGATTTTCTTGTTGTTGTATTAATTGTATAATTTCAAAATCTCCAAGTACATCGATTAGTTCTTGTTTAAAACTACAAAAAAAGAAAATCGAAATTTTTGCCATTAAAATTAAATAAAAATATATTAAAAAAAAAAAAAAACAAAATTTACGTGAAATTAAATGATAACCATGCTGTATTATTTGCATTTCTTCCTTGCCAAAAATAAACAATACGTTCTGTATCAGAATCTTTTATTTCATCTTCAAGTTCACTATTATCCATACTTTCATCTTCAGTTGGTAATAAATAACGAGCAACAAATAAATATGAATCATGAGAATAAAATTGTCCTTAGAAGAAAAATAAACAAATTCAACAAAAAAACAAAAGAATTTTATTATTATTATTTTACCTCGTTCATCATCAGGTAATTTAACGAATTTTTTATTTTCATAAACAAACATAGAAAATGGTTGAAGTAAAAATATATTCCAATCTTCAAGAGCTTCTTGAGCTGCTTCACGTGTTTGCCATGGTGGACGATTTTTAAATAGAGCTGTTAAATTTGTTTTCATTTCATTTTCTTGAAGAATTTTCTATAAATAAAATATTATATCTTATTTTACGTTCAACTCATATAGATTTATCAATATTTAAACATTACTTTATCTATTACGAAAAAAAAAGAATTGAAACATTAGTAGTTATGTCAAAGACTAAGTTAACACTTTCACAGCCGATTGTCTTTGCAGAATGAGTATTAGTAAAACATCATAATCGATGAAAAGTTTTATGATGAAATATTCAAATTTCAACTTAAATGAAAATGGAAATTTTTTTTTGTTCCATGGGAAAATTTGTATTACTTGCGGATAGATTGAATAGATTTTCAAAAATAATCTATTGAATCTTTTTATTTTAGTTTGTTAAAAGTTTACAAAATAAGTTTTATATGGATAACATAAACATATCTCTTAATTTAATTTTGCGAGTAAATCTTTCAGAATTTATTCTTTTTCTATAATATACAATACATTCTAAACTGAACTTGAAGAGAACAAAATAATGAACTATTCGATAGTAAGATATTGAAAAAAATATTTGTTAGCAGACTTCAAGGATGAAGTTTTCGCTTTATCTTATAGCGTTTATTGGCCAGAAGGCAGAAAAAATAAATGAAAAAGAAAAACAGTAGACTACAAATTGCAGTATAACCTCTCAAAAGCGTCCACTACAAGAAGGTACATTTCTAGCGAAAAAATGATAGCTGAGACTTTGAAAAATATCTACTATACGATGGCGTTCATTATGAGAAGTTTTACTGTATATTTTCATGATTTTAGGAACCTATTTTAGTCGTTCTCGATTCTAGGTCCTATCAAAACTTACGAGGAAACTATCCTAACTATTACTTACTGTTTGAGCTCATAGTAGACTCACAAGAAGGCCTCGGTTAGATTAGCAAAGGTATTCTAAGGATCATTGGATCCATCGATAAGCCGAATTTTTATTATTTAAGTTTTCGATAAATATCTAAAAATGGCTTGAAACGGTTATAATTCAGCTTCAAAGCCACATGTGTACTAATTCCACCACGACCTTCTTATGAGCCCAATATGATCTCAAACCATGGATAACCATTGAAATGATTCCTTCGTTAATATTAGAAAAAAAAAAGTCTTTCATTCTATACAAACCTTCATATCTGCACCCTTTTTTGACACATTTTCAGCTGTACGAGTAAAATCTACAGCTAATACATCATCCCAAGCATCAAATTTTGATTTAAATACTTGTGTTTCCGCTCTAAAAGCAACATATTGAAATCAATAGTCAAAACAAAAAAATCAATTTACCCTTCAAGTGTTTTCGTAATGACAGCATGAGGTGGTCGTTGAATCATTGATAATAATTCACATGCTAAACGTGTTGCTGCCATTCGAACAAGTCGTGCTGATTTTTTGCCAATCCTAAAAATACAAAAATAAGCAAAAGAAAAAAAAACAACATTTTTCTTCATTTAATTTTACCAAACAAATAATTCAGTATGACAATCAAGAATATAAATATTTCTTGTATGAAGTAATTCTTTTTTAAGAAGACCACCTGGTTCAAGTTCAACTAGACAAACAAAATTTGTTTCTTTTTTTTTTTTTAAAGTACATTCAATTAACCTTGAGGTAATTCAATAAATTCTTGTCCAAGATCAACTTTATAAAGAATAGATTTTGGTGGAATAAAATCATCGGCTACATGATTAACTAATTGAAAATTTTCTGGTTTACCACCTAATTCTTTCCAAAATTTATCTGTTTCTTCACCTTGATTTATTTGTATTAATTCACTAAGACCTTTTCTTTCACTTTTATTTAATTTTTCAACAAATAATCTTTAACAAAGAGAAATAAAAAATAGAAGTTACTTTTAAACAAAATAATTTTCATACCGTGTTTTAGCTTTTGTCATACTATTACATTTTTTTCCATTCCATATATAAAGTCTTGGTCCAACATCAAGAAAAAATACATAACGAGAATCAAGAGATGTTGCAGCAATTTCTACAAGTTCAACATGAAGTTTTTGAGTACCACTAGCACGATAAAAACGTGTTGGATGTTCCTTAAAAAAAAAAAAAAAGAATAATATTATTTGTTTTTAATCATAAAAGTATTCATTTAGCAGATGTCTTTCCACATATTCACTGTTCAGTAAATACTAATTAAATTTACTTACAACATCTCGTACAACCCAAAATCCAGTTTCTGTTCTAGCACCATCAATTATTCGTATACGACGATTAAATAAGGTTAAAAATTCATCGGATTCATCACCTTGTTCTTCACGTTGAGTACGACATGATGCACCAAGCATATTACGTAAATTAACAGCATGCATTGCTGCACATGCTTGTTTATCCAACTAAATTTAAAAAAAAAAAAAAAAAAAATTCATAAATTAAAATTATCTTTTATTTTTACCGTTGCATCTTGTCCAATCCAAAAAAATATATTCCAATCTGTATTACCTGATAATTCAACCGTTGTATGTAATATAATATAACAATCACCTGTATAAAATGTTCCATTTAATTGACGTTCTAATTGTTTAGGAAGAAAATTTTCAATTTCCCAACATGTTATACCAGCTGTATGACCAGCAGATCCATCAAAAAATTCACTATAATTTAATTGTGGTCGTTCAATTTGTTCATCCCAACGACGACCAGCTATTTCTTCATTATCATTATAATGTCCATTATTACTCATATTTGAATCTAATGCATGTTTACGTTTAGCTGTTTCACGCATACCACGTAGAACAGTTTCTGATGAACCACCACTACCTGGTGAATTTCGTTGTTCAGGTTTATTTAAACGACGAATACGTGCTGCTCGTTTTTGTTGAATATCTGTAGGAGCTATGGGTTGTTCTGGTGCTACTTGACCAGCTAATTTTAATTGATTAGCAAGAGAAAAATCAATATTATAAAAAGCTGGACCAGAACCTTTTTGACATTCTTTTGGTTTAGGTGGCATAACAAAATCAGGATTATCACTAACATCAAGTTCCTATAAATAGACATAATAAAATTATTAAATTCATCATGTAAATAATTATGATGTCATGTTATTTGTTATTTAGATTAATCTTATGTCATTTGAATTATTGACAATATCTTATTTTTCTTTTTGACCTTACACATAGAGGTTTACTTATAGGTGAAGAAAGACATGTCAGTTCCAAAAACAAATGTCTACTTATCATCTATATGATATATTTTATATCAAAATGAATTTCATTACGCTTCAATGATAATAAAAAAGTAATTAAATGAAAGTTGCTTTTTTTATTTTTTTTCTTCAGTCTTTTAAGTAGTTTATACGTCAGAGAGTAATACTTTTTAAGAATATTCATATTAATTTACATCAGAAAAAATAATAATAATCTGTCAAATTTTAAAAACAGAATGTACAAATGAAAAATTTATTAGAAATATGGGGCAAAGATGATAATGGTTTATTTACAGATGTACTAAATTATTCTCAATATAAAACTATTATTGATATTTACCTAAGTCAAGTTCTATAAGAACTCTTCTTTTTTCTAATGATAATATACTGTTGAAAAGAAATTACTATTGATAATATTCGACACTCTATATGATACATTCTAACGAAAGTTATTAATGATAAATTCTTCATATCTATATTAGAGCTCATTTTAGTCTGTATCATATCAAGATTTACAGAATGTTGTTTTTTTTTTTTATAGCTAATGCTTACTTTTAATTGTAAAAAATGAATAGCTTCTGGTAATGTTAATAATTTATTTTTATTTAAATTTAATACTTTTAAACTTCCTAATCGACAAAGTGCATCAGGTATTGTTTCTAAATTATTATCAGCTGCACTAAATACTTCAAGTTTTTCAAGATTAAATATTCCTCTTGGTAAACCATATAAATTTATTTGATTGCTATTTAAATAAAGACGTCGTAATTTTGTACAACGCATTAATTGTTGAGGAAGACTTTTAAATTTATTTCGACATAGTTGTAGAATTTCAAGTTGAGGCCAACTATCTATAAGAAAATACAAAAAAAAGCGATTCTATTCGAATTTTTATTCTTTTTTTTTTTTCTTGTTCGAACCTGATTTACTACTTAATTCACTTATTTGATTATCATTTAAATTCAAACGTTTAAGTGCTTTTAATTTATATAGAACTTCCGGTACAGACGGGAGATTATTTGCAGATAAATCAAGATCTAATTAAATATATTAAACAAAAAAAAAGAAAATTATGACTTTTTCCTTACCAGAAAGATTTGGTAATACTTCAAGTATAGCTGGAACATTATATAATGTTCGTTTTGTATTACTCAAATGAAGTGTTTCAAGTAAAATCATTGATGATAATTGTCTATTAATAAACAAAAATAAATTACTGAAATTCTTATGTTTCGTTTTTATTCTACCTTAATTGTGCACGACTAAGTGGATTATTATTTAATATTAATACTTGTAATGATGTTAAACGACGCATTTGTGCTGGTAATGTGTCTAATATAAAAATTCATATTATTTAATAGAAATAAAGAAAAAACAAAATATTTTTGTTTTACCAATTTTATTATCACTTAAATTAAGATAAACTAATTCAAAAAGTGATACGAATACATGAGCAGGAATTTGTTCAATTCTAAATAAAATAAAATTTTTATAGAAATGAAATTTTCTTTTATTGAACTTACTGATTTGATGAAAGATTAAGTACAATAAGACCTTTAGCATTTTCAATATCTTTAGGAAATGCTTGTAAATTATTATGACTTAAATCAAGTATAGATAAATCTTGATTATTAAATAAACGTGCTGATATTTGTGTATGTGATACATGATTATCTCGTAATGATAATGAACGTAATGATGTTAAATTATTTAAACAAAATGGTACATCAAGTAAATTATTATGTGATAAACTTAATTTTTCCTTAAAATATTTAAAAAAAAATAAAAGAAAAATATTTAAAAAAAAAATAAAATATACAAGTGATTTAAGATTGCCAATAAATTCTGGTAAACGATTTGTATTTGTATGATTTAATTCAAGCCAACGTAAATTACACATTTCTTGTAATGATATTGGAAATTGTTGATTATTCTAAATAAAAATATTAATAATAAGAAATGAATGAAGAAACAAATAAAAAAAACATATAGAAATTTTATTTCTTACTCCAAATTCATTTTTTGATAAATTTAATCCATAAATATAAGGTAGAAGAACCGAAGGAGACATCATAAGGAATTAATATCAAAAAACAAAAAAAAAAAAGAGATGTAAAAAGATATTGTTCTTCGTTTAAGTAATGATTCATTCAATATTTTATGATTTGTTTTCAAATCATTTGTCGCTATATGTCTATTAATGATGTCTACCAATAATAAAACAGAACAAATATTTATTTGTTCTATGTTAACAAACATAGAATCGAATCATTTATAGTTTTATTTAGTTTAGAATAATGTTATCTTTACTTGAAATAAAAAGCAAAGTATGAATACTTTTTTTTGTATAATATTAATCAGATGTTTTTATTGTTTGTTGGTTTTTTTTTATTATTATCTCAAGTTTGGTGCTGAATTTCGTCGATTTGAATTAGATAGAAAAAATCCAATAAAATTTGATGATTTTTATAAATTAATTGAAGATTTACATGGCTTACAAAATATATCATTTCATATAACTTATTTAGATAAAGATGGAGAATTACTTTCGATTAATAATGATACTCTTATTGAACATATTTTACGTGTTTATTCGGGTTTATTAAGAATATTTGTACAACGAAAAGGTAAAGAAAAATAAAAAATATACGATTTGTTTTTCTGAGATTCTTGCGCTAGTGTCCTACAATCGGATCGCGTCCCGTATATGATCTCATACCGGGATTCGACCTGACAATTAATAAGATCTCGATATTTTTAATGTGCTAATTTATATCAAAGCATACGAATGAAAACTAATTCGATCACGATTGAGCAGTTTATTGTACTTGAGAATAGATCATAGATATATTATATTATCATGAAAGAAAAAACATTCACAATTATAACAATTGATATCAACAAGTAAATATATACTTAGTGTAATTAATCAGATTTTAGAAGCAAAAAGACATCAAGTGTATCCTGAATCATTTACTTTGTTGCTGTTTATGAAAGAAACAAAATAATATACTTTTTTTTTATATAAAATAAAAGTTTGAAAGCTGTACTATGACTGTGAAAGTATCTGCCGAATGTCAATTAGTTTCGGTTGAAGTCTGATTGTGAAAAGTCGCACTCATATAGGACACTACTCTGCATCTTCCTGCTTTCAATATTGAGTTACACCTTTGTGTTGTTTACTTTTATGAAATATAAAAAAAAATAGTTCTAATCTTGTTAAAATTGAAATTAAAAGATTGATCATGACTCATTTTGTATAATAAATATTCTTGTAGAATTGTCTTTATAATGAAAAAGTACAGCATTACTATTAAAAAGGAAATATCTAATTAAGTAAGATTCAAGCATGAAATTATTTTGTGTATTATGTCTATCTTTAGAAAGATGAGTAGTCTACTTGAAGACTAACTATATTATTGATCAATTAATTACATTCTTATAAAAATTCTTCTCTGTTATGTCGAGAATTATTAAAAACACAGAAATATAAAATCAATGAAGAATCGAATAAGATATAGTATACTGAACATTGCTAGAGCAGAATGATTAATAAAAGCAGTCAAAAAAAATTGGTTCTTTAATTACAACGTTTATTATTCACATAAGATTCCTCCTTTTGTTTTTTTTTGAACACAAACATAGTTCATGTAATTGGCCATATCAAATACTTTCCCGTAAATATAAAATCAACAATACGGCATAAAAATAACCGTTTCCGATAATCCATAACAATTGATTTGGACAGCTGCATGAATCACATTTGATTAGATATTTCGTTTTTAATAGTTAATTTGTTTGTAAATATGAAAGACGTATCTAGTCCTACGAAATCATTTATTATGAGAAAAAAAATGAGTCAAGACTTCTGAACTATCCTTTATATCTAAATGAATATTCAAGAAAGAATTGACAATGATAGAAAATTATATTAAGGTATCTATTAACAAAATGTTTTCTAAGCATAGACTTAGAATAAGAAAAAAAAGCTTTGCTCTTTTAAAAATTTTTGATTTTTTTTTTGGTTCAATCATTTATTTGAATTTGATTAGAAACGTAAATGATGATAAGAAATGCATTTATATTCATTTAAATATATCATTAAATTTTCTTTCAATGTCTAGGTGAATCATATCAATATGCAACAGATTCATTAAAAAAACGAAAAAAAATATCTGATCAAATATCATCATTAATTTATCCATCATCAGATAAAAATATTCATTCTCCACAACGTAATATTGAAATTCAACCAGATTTTCGTCTTGTATCATCAATAATTGATGTTGAAATATTACCTGTTACATATCGTCGTGTTAAATTACATCGTTATAAAGAAAGTAAACCACTTGGTTTTTATATACGTGATGGTGTAGCTATTAAATATGGTTCTAATGGTGTTGAAAATGTACCCGGTGTATTTATATCACGTTTATTAGCTGGTGGTTTAGCTGAATCAACTGGTTTATTATCTGTTGGAGATGAAATAATTGAAGTTAATGGTATTGAAGTTAGTGGAAAAACATTAGATCAAGTTACAGATATGATGGTAGCAAATAGTCGTAATTTAATAATAACTGTTCGACCACAAAATGATACATTTAATTTAAAACGTACAATGTCATCATCATCATCATCAATAACAAAAAGTCCATTATTAAATAAAAATAAAATTAATATTAATAATAGTACAAATCAAAGTGGAGGTTTAAGTGATGATGATGATGATGATGAATTCTATCGTTTACATGATACACATAGAGATTTTCATTTACAAAAAACACCATCTGTGTTAAAATTATGAATTGCGTTTTTTCTTTGTAGTCGTTGTTATTTCTTCATATCATATATATATATATAAATATGTATACATTCCAATCAAATTCTTTTTTTTTGTTTTCGTCTTTTTGTACATATATTACTGATATGTGTTCGTCGATTTGTTTTTTAATAATGTTTATTATAAATATGATTACAAGAAGTTTTTTTTTCCTAAGAATAGTCGCCTATGCAATAATTTTTTGTTTTTTTGTTTTGGTCTTAAGCCCATTATGATGAAGCATAATATGTCATCTGTGTTTATTTTACAAAAATATAAATAAATATTGCTTTAAGATATAAAAGAAATTTATTTCGAATTTTTGTTCATTGAAATGATTTATATTTGTTTTAAAAATATGTTATAAAGTTAGAAAAAATATTTTACAATAAATTTATAATATATGCTTATTGAAATAATCAAATTATTTGTTTTCTAAGATTCTTAGCATAGTCATTTGTATAATCTTACAAAATGTATGTTCGAATATAATGAAAATATTTGCTATATGTTTACAATCAAAACAAAATTTTCTTGAATAAATCAATTAATTTATCCGGCTAAATCTGCTGTCGAAAGGGTAAGTGCGTTGATATTTCGATGGATTTTATTTTCGTAAGTTTTGAATAGTTGGCTAAGAAAATGTCCTATGTTGCACTTTTGTTTGCAGTATCGGTATATCGTGATCAGTAGATAGCCGATATTTTACCGGTGATTTTTTTTTGTCTAGTTTGAATCATATGAGGTGAACGACATCTTACTTTGTTCCTTAGACTATGCTCTACAAAATAAACATTTCATTTTTTTTTGCACTTTGTTTATCTGAATAAAACTTTGAAGTATACTTCGAGTCATTAAAAGTTTTTAAGGTCTGTTATGCTTTTATTTTGACAAGTAGAGGAATAAGCTAAGTACCAAAAAAAAAGCATGAAAAGTAAATTTTGTAGAGCTTAGTTTAACAAACAAAATAAGATGTCGCTTACATTTTTCTAGTCAACCGTTCAAAACTTATGAGAAGAATAAAGTGTATTGAAATGATAATACGTTCGCTTTTTTGGTCGTAAAATTAGTCGAACAAGTTGAAGTTTATTTTGAACACATTTTTAACAAATATATGTCTTTATAAATTTAAATAAGTTTTAATTGACTATGTAAACATAATAAATCTTTTGACAATTAGTCATATGAATTTCATATGTAGATTAGTCACAGTTTTCTACAAATATCATACATTTAACAAACATATTTATGAATAACTATGTAGGTTTCATATACGATAGATAAAAGTAAACTTAATGAAAGGTTGAAATCAAATTTTATTACAATTAGATTAATGGATACTTTTGAGTTGACTTAGTTTTATTTTTCCTTTCAAATATGATCATGAAAATGGTAAAAATTAATAGGAAAGTACGTGCAATAGAACCACCGATAATATGACTGGAATTATTTGACACAGGTGGTTTGCAAAGAAAGATATATCAAGTTCTATCAATGGAAACCATTTCTTATTATTCTATTTATGTGATCATTATAGTCGTATGCTGTCAAATAATGACATCGACTGTGGTCATAAGTATAAGAAATTAACAACGAAAACAACACTGAAGTACTTTCTGTTGTAATCAAATCTATTAATTAAAAGATAAGTATAGTTTATTATAACTTACGCCATTATTATATGTTGTAGAAGACAAATGAAGAGATAATAATTGTTGTTGAGGTTACTGCTAAAGTTAATTACCTTGACTGAAAGAAGTGTCATACGAAATAAGATAAAATGCTATGGTATGTTTGCATGCACGTGCATGGTCACGTGTTGTGTTGTTTTGGCATAAATTGAGACTAACTATTTAAGATGATGACTACGTTGCGCTGTATCTTCATCCAATCAGATAGTTTCAACGTCTAGCTTTCAGTCAGTTAGGTGTTTCCAATATCTGAATTCCAGTCAATCATGTTTTTTCCAGGCTATGAGTTCAGCCTATCAGAAGTTTTCTCAATCTAGCCGTGGCCCAGTCAAATCTTTTCATACTAAAAGTTTAATCATCACATTTTCTCATACTCGCAGTTCAGACAGTCCAAGAATGACGTCGTTGTCTGACTCTTGTGCAATCAAGGTTCTGAAGTAGGGAGTCACGTATGATCCGAGACACTCAAGGATGGGAGAATGGCGTAGTTTTTCCGCGTGTTTTAAACTTATTAATCTTTTTCTATTAGTTATTGAAAGAATCAACAGACAACATGACAAATAT